AAACCTGCAAAGGTTTACAGCAATTAACAACACATACGTGCCATACTCCAGGAGGGGAGCAACACCATGATGTGATTTGAGAACTACAAATAGCTCAGTATGAAAACAAAGGATATTTTCAGAGGTAATATTCAAACTTGAGATGCCCATCCATCATCCAAACAGAGCCAACGCTAGTGTGTGTACACATGATGAGAACAGACATGGAAATTCACCTGGTAAATTATTTAATATTTATTGAGTACCCACTGTGTACGTGATACCATATAAGAAAGTGGGGGAGAAAGAAGGAAAAATAAGCCATGAAAGATCTTACCATCAAAGGGCCAAGAGACAGAGAAGTAAACCATCCATAGCATTAGCCTACAGTGATAAAATGCTACAGAATACACATACAAAGTCTTACATAGCAAAAAAAAAAAAAAAAACAAAAAAAACAAAAAAACAAAACAAAACACAAACAGGAACAGAGGGAAGGAAGTTTTCCCAAAACAGTAAAGCAAAGCTAGAGATGTCTCTAACGGTGAATAGGAATGAACTAGGTAGAGAATGGGAGAAGTGTAGGAGTAAAGACAAAGAGTAAAAACAAAGCAGTTCAGATAAAGCTGGAGGAAACAGGGAAGTATGGCAGAAGAGACTTATAAAAGCCAGTTCACCAAGAGCAATTAGTAGTAAGCAATCAAGCTATAAGGCACAGAAGGGTTTCAAGCATGAGTAAGATCAATCACTCTATCAAGCAAAGTGAAAGATATACTAGGAGTGGAAGGAGGGAATATGGCAAGACTAAAGGGAACATCAGTGTGATGAACTACATACATAGTGAGGGATGATATAATTTACAATGTATACAAAGCAAGAAAACAAAGAAAAGGACAAGGATACTTGGAAATAAGGACAAGGAAGATAGGGAAGAGATGGCGGGAAGAGGGAATGTTTCAAAGGTGTTAGTTATATGGATGCTTATTTTATAACTACATATTAAACTTTGCTATGCACTTTTACATACATCAAATTTTAAACAAATTTTAAAAGAGGGAGAGGTTGGGGTGCTGGGTGGCTCAGCTGGTTGAGCGTCCAACTTTTGATTTCAGCTCAGGTCACGATCCCAGGGTCGTGGGATCAAGCCCCATATCGCTCTGCACTGAACATGAAGCCTGCTTGGGATTCTCTCTCCCTCTGCCCCTCTCCCCTACTTGCTCTCTCTCTTTCTCTCTCTCTCTCTCTCTCTCTCTCTCTCTCTCTCTCTCTCAAAAACAACAACAACAAAAAAAAAAAAAAACAGAGGGAGAGGTTGCTGAAGTAAGATAATAGCAGTAAGGAAGGAAAAAAAAAAAAAAACAAGTACGAGTTAGAACTAAGCAAACTTCGTGACCAATTAGATAAAGGAAAGGGACAAAACTAGGAATCCCAATCAGGTCTCCCATTTCAGAGTCTAGGTGGAGAGTGAAGCCATTCACCAAGGCTTATAAGACTTAACAAGAGATAACTCTGTTTTTGAGAGGAAGAATTCAATTTTTGACATTTTGAAGTTGAGTTGCCTGAATGACATTCACATGGAGATAGATCTAGTAGGTTTTTAGATATATAGGCCAAAACTTAGAAAAAAAGTCTTGACTGAAGACTAAACTTTGGGCACCATGAGCTTATAAAGCAGTACAGTAGTTAAGGCTGTGAGCTTGAAAAAGGTTGCCAAGGAGAGCTTTTAAAAGAAACCTTGGGAATGCAAGCTTGGTGCAGCCACTCTGGAAAACAGTATGGAGGTTCCTCAAAAAACTAAAAATAGAACTACCCTACAATCCAGCAATTGTACTACTAGGCATTTATCCAAGGGATACAGGGGTACTGTTTCAAAGGGACACATGCACCCTCATGTTTATGGCAGCACTGTCAACAATAGCCAAAGTATGGAAAGAGCCCAAATGTCCATCGATGGATGAATGGATAAAGAAGATGTGGTATATATATATATACAATGGAGTATTACTTGGCAATCAAAAAGAATGAAATCTTGCCATTTGCAACTACGTGGATGGAACTGGAGAGTATTATGCTAAGTGAAATTATTCAGAGAAAGACAAAAATCTTATGACTTCACTCATATGAGGACTTGAAGAGACAAAACAGATGAACATAAGGGGAGGGAAACAAAAAGAATATAAAAACAGGGAGGGGGACAAAACAGAAGAGACTCATAAACTGAGGGTTTATGGAGGGGTTGTGGGGGGGGGGATGGGCTAAATGGGTAAGGGGCAGAAAGGAATCTACTCCTGAAATCATTGTTGCACTATATGCTAACTAATTTGGATGTAAATTTAAAAAAAAAAAAAAGAAAGAAAGAAACCTGAACCTGGGGCAGCTGGGTAGCTCAGTAGGTTAAGCGTCCAACTCTTGATTTCGGCTCAGGTCATAATCTCATGGTTCATGGGTTCAAGCCCCACATCTGGTTCTGCACTGACAGTGTGGAGTCTGCTTAGGATTCTCTCTCTGCCCCACCCCTGTTCACACACTCTCTTTCTTTCTCTCAAAATAAATAAATAAACTTTAAAAAAAAGACCTGAACTTAAATGAGATTTTGAATTATTAGCAATATTCCTCTGACATATAAGTAAACTAGAGTCCAAATATCCTTTTTCTTAAAATGTTAGCTTTTCAAATTTTCACTTGATTGTTGAATAAAGAAAAATAGCCAGTATTTTTTTCAAAAGATAGTTACAAATGATAGAAATACCCATTCATATAAACCATTTCCCCTTGTATACCATTTAGTAGAATACATGTGAAATTCACTCATCTTTCCCTCCTGAATCCAGGCAAAATAAGATTTGGGACAACTTAATTATGATTCCAAGATTATATCTCTCTGTATCTGGCTCAGTCATCACTTGGTTTTTGGTAGAACCAGAAGGTAAATCTGCTGTAATACCAGATTTTACAAGCAGCTGGCAGAAAGTGGGTTGACTGTTACAGCACCTGATGGCAGGTAGCTGAAAGGAATTGGCAATTCTTTCAGTTCTGCCTACTTACAAACTCTAGATACAGCAGGAATAGAGTAGGTAAAATTAGATTTAAACTTAAAAAAATTCCTACATTTTCAAGTAACACAACTGCCAAGAATCCCTTACTTCCCCAAGAATAAAATATCAAAAAGTAGAATTAGCTCACACTTATGTTGTAAATACTGTAATGCAAATTTAAAAGTTACTATAATTACATCTGATAATGAAATAAAGTTTAGTACTTGTTAGTCTCACGGCACCTAGCAGAAACGAGACTTTCAATAAGCACAAAATAATACACACTGACCACTAGTGAACAGTACAAATAAATACCAATGAACTCAAAATAGTTTGCTTTATTCGTTAAAGAAGCACAAGGGTCGGAGATTTCTCTCCATATAAATGCCTGAATATAAAAGAATACCACTTATACAGTGATTTATACAGTTAGGTATTCGTAAAATGAAATTTTGTAATTCAAAATAAGAATTACATTAACATGACACAAATGCTTTTGGTAAAATGATTCATAAAATTTGAGAAAAAATGTCGTACCTACACTCCCATATGCAATGTGTATCTGTTTACATCTAAAGTAAGATGGTTCTGAGATATATTCTTGAAATACATTTTTTTCTTGTGAGAACACTCAGAGATCACTACAAGCTTTAAAAAGATATAGTTTTCAAAAAAAATGATTGACACTATTCTTTAGCCTTTCCATCATGGTTAATCCTACTCAGAAAACAAAGATTACACAAGCAGAGTACAATCATTCTCTTTACAACTACAGAAAGTATCTAATTATTATCAGTTGAGCTAGAACAGATTACTTACAGGAGACAAGCTGATTTAGGAAAAACATAAAACACTAAAGAGACTTAGGAATGAACAATGATGCACACATCTGTTCAACAAATTAGTGGTTACCTACCAGGTAGAAAGCACCATACTAGGTACAGTAAGAGAAACCAGAAGTAAAACATTCCATCACTATTTACAAACTTAAGACCACTGTACAATAAGCCTTAGAAAACAACATAAGAAATTACAAGGCAATATATGCTTAAACATCAAATCAGCAATTTAAACAGTAAGATCTGAGGAGAGATTGCATCCAATTCTTGTGAAGGCACTTCAACCCCATGTACTTAGTGTAGTTTTTACTACAGGAAGTCAAGCAGATTCTTGAAATTACCATAATTTCAAAAAAGTAGCAGCACTGGGGTGGCAGCATCTCACTATTCAGCCCCTTCAGCTAGAGAACGGGGAAAAGGAATAATCAGGTAGGAAATTAGACTAAATGACCACTAAGGTCACTTTCTTACGTCTACAGTTCTTTCTTGATTTAAGAATACACAAAATCTGAAATACAATGGAGTAAAATGTGTGAAAACTGAAACTCATAAAGCACTGAACTGTTGTCTAAGGCAACAGTTTTCAAACTCTGATGAACATCTAAATTCATCTAATAACATCCAAAGGACTGAATAATTTGTTAATTACATAGATGCCTATCTACCGTCTCAAACCTTTGGAATCAGAACCTATAAATGTGCAGTCAGGGCAGCATTTGTATTTTGAGCAGCTCCTCAGGTGTTCTGATGCACAGTGTGAGAATTAAATGTGATATAACTAAGTACACAATCTTCAGTGGCAAGGAAACCTGGGTTCAAATGCCTGTTCTAATACTTACTAGCACTGTAACCACCAACTACCTCCCTAACACTATTTCTAATCCATAAAAAGGGGGAAATGCCACCCACATATCATGTGGTTGTTCAGAGGATTAAAGATGATGACACATAAAATGTTTAACACAATTCCTGGCACATTTAGTAAGCACTGAATTCATTCATTCATTCATTCATTCACTCATTCAACAAACATTTATTAAGCACTTACACAGTATCAGATGAGAAACATCTCATTAATTTATTAAATATTAATAAATATGGCAACTCTGCAATGGTGTCATGTGAACACATAATTATGAGACTCTACCTTAACCAGGAAAGTCTTCCCTGAACCAGGAAAGTCTTCCCTGAACTGGATGAAAAGGAAAAGAAGCGCACTTCCAAGCAGAGGAAGCATCGTAACCAAAAGCCACGTACCTGAAGCAGAACAGAAAGAACAAGGTGACTAGGGGAGAAAGGAATGCCAGAAAGCACTGTGGAGATGAGGTTCAAAAGGCAACTGGGAGGCCAAACAGGTTGTTAAGGATGTTAGTTTCTCTTAAAAAACAATGGAAACCACTGAAGGGTTTTAAACATGAAGACAATGTGATTAGATCTGCATTCTGAAACAGTCACTCAGTCTGGTGTGGAAAACTACAGAGCAGGCCACAGAAAATACAAGTAGACCATGATGAGGAAGCTGGTTATACCTCAGATAAGAGATGATGATGGCTGGAATGAGAGTACTAGTAGTGACGATGAAGAGTGGACATATTCAAGAAGCCAAATTAACAGGACATCAAGAGAGAGTGATATGAGTCATGAGAGACAGGAAGATGTCATACTCCTACAAAAAAGGGATGGATGATGAAGCTAGTCACTGAGTTAAACACAGTAAGAGGACCTATTTTGGGGGGACGGGGGTAAATAATGAATTTCAAACATGTGAGTTGGATAGGTATTCCTAATGATAATTGATTTGTTCAGAAGTATTCTATGATACATGTCTGTTTCTGTTGCATGTTTACGGATCTTAGAAGACTAGGTTTCAGCATGTGTGTAAAGTGGATCTGAAAAGAATGAAGGTCCTTACCTTCCATTAGGTTCCTTTCCTTGACAACAATCCTCCAAAAGTTTCTTTTACGACTAGTTTAAAAATGACAAACCATATTTAAACTTTAAAATTAATATTTTTATATTAAAGAATAAGACAAATGCCAAACCAAAAAAAAAAAAAAAAAGCCTGTAAAGAAGGAAGCTTCAAGTACCTGACTTTCAAGCCATTACCAGAATACAACTGGCTTTTAAAGTGACAGGCAGGTCTGGAGCATTTTCGTTAGACTATGTTAATTTTCCGGAATGGAGAGGGATGCAAACGCTACTTTAAAAAATTATTATTCACAGAATCCAAATTGTAAAAAAAAAAAAAAAAAAAAAGTCATCATACAAATAATTCCTGAATTTTATCTACAAAAAACTAGTTTGCACTTACAATTTTAAGTCACTATTGACACGGCACTTTTAAGTGGCTCGAATGCAGTGTCTCACGAAGAGTGTCATAAGGGCTGACCTGACAGTACTGGTATGTATTCAGTCGGATCCCAAGAAGTTTTTGCAAGCTTTACGGATCTAAACCTTCCTCCACCCTTTCTCTCCCGCTTAGAAAAAGAAGAGTGAGGGAGCCACCGAGGGGAGTGTTAGTCTTCGCAAAACACCTGCCCCACCCACCTCACCCACAATAACCTTCCGTTCCAGAACTAGAGCTACTGTCTGAAAAGGACGCCGGGCCGTAGGGCGCTGTTTGGTAACCCAGGTAATGAGGTGCAGACCTCAGAACTGACTGGAGCGGTCTCACCCAGTCGCGGAGTAGTATCCAATTTCCCAAAAGGGAACCAAGATATCCACCACGAAAACATGAGCTCCAAGGCCTGAAAGAGGGTTCTCCCTCCCACAGATGGCTCCGGCCCCGGTCTCCCGTCGCCTCAAGGCCTCTTCGGGGAACTCGGGCCTCTCAGATCCCCTCCCCGGAGCTCGCCAGTCCCCCAGCTCGGCTACACACGGGCGTCCACCTTCCCGGCCCGCAGCCGGCAGGCCCGTCACCAGGCAACAGTCACCAGCTCCAAGGGCCTTGGGAGGCCTACCCCGGGTGCGGGTCCTTCCCGGTTCCCTCCTTGCTGGCCTTAGAGAGCCCAGATGGGAGTGTGGCAGGTGAAGGAGATCGCCCTGTGCCCGTGGGCGGTCACTCACCTCTTCCCTCTTTCCCGGGAGGGGCGGTGCTGGGGCTCGTTTCCCCCGCCCCCCCAAACGCTTCCTGGCTGCCCCTGCTCAGCCTCAGAGCCTTGCCGCGGCCGCCGGCTTACTCCATAGCCTTCTCCACCCGCGCGGCCTCAAAGGCTGGAGCCGGAGGAGGGAAGGGGGAGGGGAGGGGAGGGACTGGGGAGGAAGAGTACGGGAGGGGGAAGAAGACCGAAAGACCGGCCGGCCAGGGCATGACGTCACTTCCGTCAGGCTTGGAGGGGCGGGGCCTACGCTCCCTGGGCCCCGCCTACCGAGTGCCAGGTGGGGGCGGTGTTACGAGCTAGGGGAGGAACCCGAGCGCTAGCTGACGGCGGTCCTTTTAACTCCGCGATTCCGTAGCCTTGGCAGCCGGAGTAGGCTTCCGGGGCCAGGACCGAGCGAGCAGAGTTTTCGTTAGCCCTAAAGGTGGCTTCTGCCGGAAAAGGAGGACAGGTAGCCCTATAGATCCTAACCAAATATGTTCTGAAGGGAACGGCAGCTGAGAGGAGCGGGTGGTTTGGACTTGCCTCCTGAGGACCAGCCCTTTCCTGACCCCGCCCCTTTCTCAGCCCACCTGCTGTCTGGTCCGCGGTAAAGAATCGCTCGCTATTCGGCTTTTTCCGGAGCTACTCTGCCCAAGGTGTCCACGAAAGCAGTGCTTCACAAACATGAATATGCACACGAATCATCTGGGGACTTTGTTAAAATGTAGTTTGGATTCAGGGATTGGGTCTGATACTCCGCATATCTAGTAAGTTCCCAGATGACGCCAATGCTGCTGCTGGTCAGCAGGCTGCACTCAGAACAACAAAGGATTAAAGTACGAGGTGGCAAGCAGGAGAATTATTTCCTTAACCTAGACTACTTATTTAATGAAAGTTAGAGAAGCAAATGGCCACACCCTTGTCTGCACCGATCATAGACTCCTAGCCTTTTCCACCCACTGCACCCTACCCCCGTCCCTACTGGCCCATCACTCCCTGGTCCCCTCTTCCTCTAATTCCTCCCTTTCCACTATTCACCCTCTATCCCCTACTCCTGTCTCCGCATTGTCCACAGGGTCTTGGGCTAATATTTCAAGGATAGACAGCTTCTGTTACTAAAGGCATTTGAAGGTGATGGACTTTTATTTCTGTCATTTTGTCATAAACATCAGACTATTATGCAAAATTGGGCATCCTGTTTCCAAAGGAGAAGAGAGCTTAAATTCTTGGATTCTAACAACAAAAGACCTAGAAACAACAATCTAGATGTTTCAACTTATTCCATTATCATTCTTAAAATTGTTTAATTAAAAATTTGCTGGGGTAGGGGCGCTGGGGTGGCTCAGTCGGTTAAGCGTCTGACTTCACCTCAGGTCATGATCTGGTGGTTCAAGCCCTGCTTCCGGTTTTGTGCTGACAGCTCAGAGCCGGAGCCTTCTTCCATTTCTGTGTCTCCCACTCTCTCTGCCCCTCCCCCGCTCGTACTCTGTCTCTCTCAAAAACATTAAAAAATTTAAAACAAAAGAAAGTTATTTTGAAATTTTTACTGGGGTAGAGAGGAATGAGGAGTGACTGCTAAGGTCTGAGGGTTTTTTTTGAAGTGATGAAATGATCTGGATTTAGATAATAGTGATATTGCACAACTGTGTGAGTGTACTGAAAAACCATTGAATTGTGCATTTTAAAAGGGTGGATTTTGGGGTGCCTGGCTGGCTCAGTTGGTAGAGTACATGACTCTTGATCAGGGGGTCGTGACTACACCGATGTTGGGCATTAGCGCCTACTAAAAGATAATAATAGGGGCGCCTGGGTGGCGCAGTCGGTTAAGCGTCCGATTTCAGCCAGGTCACGATCTCGCGGTCCGTGAGTTCGAGCCCCGCGTCAGGCTCTGGGCTGACGGCTCAGAGCCTGGAGCCTGTTTCCGATTCTGTGTCTCCCTCTCTCTCTACCCCTCCCCCGTTCATGCTCTGTCTCTCTCTGTCCCAAAAATAAATAAACGTTGGAAAAAACATAATAATTAAAAAATAAAAGAAATAAAGGTGAATTTTGTGGTAGGTGAGTTTATCTCAATGAAAAATTTTACTGTCTCCAATTAATTGAAAAAAGTATGTATATTATTTAAAAGCCCACAAATAAATAGAATAAAAAGTGAACAACCTTTTTCATTATAAACCTACTTCCCAAAGGTTAATAGTTTGAAGGTTAGCCTTCTATACCTTTCTATGTATTTACGTATACTTGTATGTAATTCAAGAATTCATTTATATATAACTAAGATGATGGTATACACATTCTCCAAAAAAACTAGCAAGTTTTTTTGGTTTTGTTTTGTTTTTTCTATTTAATGAAATCCTTCCATGCTATAAATCTCATTCTTCCAAACTGGCTGTTAAATATTCCACAGTGAGGCTATGACATAATTTACTTAAATGTTCCCCAGGTGATGGACATTTTTATTGTTTTCAGGTTTCCGTTATTTCTCACAAACTTTTTTCTTACAGATCAACTGGCAGATAAATCAATTAGTTTTATTCAGCTGCTTGCCCTAGATCTCTTTCATGAAGGGCTTGCCATTGGTCAAAAAAGGCAAAAAGAAAAAGAAAAGAGCCTCATGAAGCCACAGGTCTGTCATAATTAAGACTCCAGTGTGTGTGTGCATTCCTTTTAAATATTTTCTTAAAAGAGTATTATTCAGGGGCGCCTGGGTGGCTCAGTCAGTTAGGCGTCTGACTTCGGCTCGGGTCATGATCTCACAGCTCATGAGTTGGAGCCCCGCATCAGGCTCTGTGCTGACAGCTCAGAGCCTGGAGCCTGCTTTGTATTCTGTGTCTCCCTCTCTTTCTGCCCCTCCCCCACTTGTGCTCTGTCTCTCTCTGTCTCTCAAAAATGAATAAATGTAAAAAAAAAATTAAAAAGTATTCTTCAAGATTAAGTATAGCTAGTCATCATGTAATATTAAGGCTATATAAATTCACATAATAATGCATTTGATATCAGTAAAGCAAGTTCCTAGATTTACTCTGTTTTTATTAGCAGACAAACATGGTGCAGGGTTAGTAAATAAATTATGGTTTACATAGGATGGGAGGAGAAGAAACAAGAGAGACACTGGCAATAGATATGCCACACAAAAGCATAAGGTTGTCAAAACTGGGAAACTTACATATTTTTGTGTAATCTAAATTGTAAGAAACCTGTTTATTCATTTTTTTCTTTTCTTTTCAGGATGCTCTAGTCCTTTCAAGCTACTCAGCTATGGGATGATATTATTCACTCCCTTCAGACTCAGGTGGAAATAAAAAAAGAAGCATCATCAATGAACATACAAGAACTGTTTTACTGGCTCTGATGCTGTTGATGTAGCATCAAGTCATCTTATGCAAAACATGTGCTTAAGTAATAATGACACCTCTCCTCTTTTTTTTTTTTTAATTTTTTTTCAACGTTTTTTATTTATTTTGGGACAGAGAGAGACAGAGCATGAACGGGGGAGGGGCAGAGAGAGAGGGAGACACAGAATCAGAAACAGGCTCCAGGCTCTGAGCCATCAGCCCAGAGCCCGACGCGGGGCTCGAACTCACGGACCACGAGATTGTGACCTGGCTGAAGTCGGACGCTTAACCGACTGCACCACCCAGGCGCCCCGACACCTCTCCTCTTAAAGGAGTTTGTCTTTGCCAAGTTCTAACAAATCATCAAGTACTTGAACCAGTAGGAATGAAGCTACTGAAAAATGAAAAGGAATTCTAATTTGAAGATTAAAACAGTAGTCCCAACAAGTTTCTAGGCAAGAAATCATCATATATATATATATATATATATATATATATATATATATATATATATATATATATATTTTGCAAAAGAAAAAAGCATGCTGGGAATGGGTTAACTGATGAAATAAGAGCAAAGAAATATTTAAGGTTAGTGTTAACCAAAATACTATAATATATTGTATTTAGACTCTGACAGAACAGTCTTCATTGAGCTAAACTTAAATGTTATACTTTCCATTTTATTCAGAAGCCAGTAAAAGAAAAGCTGTGTAGAAATTAATCTATGTCCATGTCTGCTCTAAAACTTCTGTGGAAGACATTACCACATAATTTTTTTCAGAATTTATGGAAGGAAAAACTTTTACCTTCTTTGATGAATTGTATGCTTTATAATTTAGAAACATGACTTAGCCAAAGTAAAAAGAGCCAACAGTATGTGGGAGCTCAGAACAAAAGTTTTCTATTCAATCATTGCAAAAATGTTAACTTTACATTTAGCATATATTCCTTCTCTTTATTTACAACCCTACTTGGTCCTCTTTTGCTGATATCCTATTATCTAATCAATGTATTACTTGTGTTTTTTATTGTTATCCCCATGAAATCCTTTGTGAAAATAGGGAATGTCTAAATAAGTTTCAGTAAGTTAAAACATATATTTGAAATTTTGATCCCTTATACAATATAATAGAAAAGTCCACATATTATTTCTTAACAGACCAGGAGATGAAATGATTTGGAATCCTATAACACAAGAATTGAAGAACTTGGGGCATCTGGGTGGCTCCATTAGTTGAGCATCCAACTCTTGATTTTGGTTCAGGTCATGATCCCAGGGTTGTGGGATTGAGCCCAGCACCAGGCTCTGAGCTAAGTGTGGAGCCTGCTTATGATTCTCTCACTCTCTCTCTCTTTTTCTCTGCACCACCTCCATCCTCTCTCAAATTAAAAAATAAAATAAAAATAAATAATTGAGAAATTATCCATACAGTAAGTGGAAATGTGGTTATACCTCCAAATATCACAAACCTGTGACAAACCTGTTCTCTCACTTTCAAAAGAAGGTAATTTCATTTTTCATAATTTTTTTCAGGAAGAACTGATATTTTAATTATTTTTTTAAGAACAGTTTCAGGGGCGCCTGGGTGGCTCAGTCGGTTGGGCGTCCGACTTCGGCTCAGGTCATGATCTCACGGTTCATGGGTTCGAGCCCCGCGTCGGGCTCTGTGCTGACAGCTCAGAGCCTGGAGCCTGCTTCAGATTCTGTGTCTCCCTCTCTCTCTGACCCTCCCCCGTTCATGCTCTGTCTCTCTCTGTCTCAAAAATAAGTAAACATTAAAAAAAAAATTTTTTTTAAAAGAACAGTTTTAGGTTCACAGAAAAAGTGCACAGAAATTGCACAGAAAGTAGAGTCCCCATATATCCTCTGCCCCCGTAAGTATATTTTCCCCACTATCAACGTCCTGTACCAAAGCGATACATTTGTTACAATCTGTGAACATACATTGATACATCATTATCAAGTTTACATTAGTTCATAGTTTACATTAGTACTCACTCTTTGTGTTTTATATTATGTGGGTTTTGACAAATGTATGACATGTATCTACCATCAGAGAATCATACAGAAATAGTTTCACTGACCTAAAAGTCTATGCTTCACCTATTCATCCTTCCCTTCCCCCCAACCCCTGGTAACCACTGATCTCCAAGAATTGACTTTTCAGATATGATAAAAGTACTGTGTTTGGTGTATTGATTTTCTGCTCTTCTGTAAGAGTTTCCTTCTACATAGCGATTCTATCAGACAAGACAGGTGAGGCAACATAGATCCAATAACATTTATTTTTTACAATGACCATGAGCAGATTAACTGGAGGTGCTACAGTCTATACTACCAGAAAAAAAGACATATAGACTCCTTACTATTTATAATCCTAGACCATCTTCTTGTGAGCATTTACTTTTTCCATTCCATCCTCCCTCCCAAACATCTCCCTAACCTTCACCTTTCAGGAAAAAAATAGGCAACCTGTTACTCTACTCCTCTTCTCTATTTACTTCACCTACTTACTTGTGTTTTTTTTCTCCTTCTGATGACACAAAAGGTGCAAAGAAGAGTCCCATCCCCAGGACAGTCAGAAGGGATACATACCCAATTCATTAATGGTTACATCTTTTACTGCATTTAGTCAAACCATGACAGAAGCAAGACAAGCCTAATTTGCACCTTGGAGGTGCAGAAGATATCAACAGCAGTTAGGAAAAGTGTGATAAGGGAAAGACAAGGGGCCCAAAGGAAAGGTAATAAGAAGAGAAAAGGGACTAGAAGATAACTCTGAGGAAGACCAGTGGACAGGCAGAAGAAGAGCCAAACAAAAGTGATTTTTATCTACTACAAATGAAAAACCCAACTGTCCTATTACTTTCCCCTGAGGATATAGGGTACCTCTAGAAATTCCCAACTACAGATGGATATAATTTATCAGTAAATATGCTAATAAAATAATTTCCAGTCATTGGCCCTTTCCCTTTCTTTTGTTAATGTTTATTTATTTCTGAGACAGAGAGAGACAGAGCATGAGTGGGGGAGAGACACAGAATCAGAAGCAGCCTCCAGGCTCTGACGTGGGGCTCAAACTCAAACCATGAGATCATGACCTGAGGCAACCGACTGAGCCACCCAGGCGTCCCTGCCCTTTCCCTTTCTTAAGCAGTTTGTTAAACATTTTATATGTATTGTTTATAATCTAACAATAGGCCTGTAAAGTAAGAGGTAAAACTCCCATTTTATAGTAGGGGAAACTGAGACTTAGAAGGACAAATAAATAAATAAATAAGACACAGTAGGGAAGGAAAGCTGTTATTTTGATATTCTTATAGGGATTGCATTGAATGTGTAGATTGCTTTGGGTAGTGTAGACATTTTAACAATATTTGTTCTTCCAATCCATGAGCATGGGATGTTTTTCCATTTCTTTGTGTCTTCAATATCTTTCATAAGCTTTCTAAGGTTTTCAGCATACAGAAAACCTGGTTTTCTGGTTAGGTTTATTCCCACGTATTTTCTGGGGTTTGGTGCAATTGTAAATGGGATCATTTCCTTGATTTCTCTTTCTGCTACTTCATTATTGGTGTATAGAAATGCAACCAATTTCTGTACATTGATTTTATATCCCGTGACTTTGCTAAATTCATATATCACTTCTAGCAGGTTTTTTTGGTGGAGTCTTTAGGTTTTTCTACATAGAATATCATGTCATCTGGGAAGAGTGAAAGTTGGACTTCTTCCTTGCCAGTTTGGGTGACTTTTATTTCTTTTGTTGTCTGATTGCTGAAACTAATAAGATTTCCAGTACTATGTTCAATAGCAATGTTGAGAATGGATATCCCTATCCTGTTGGTGACTTTAGAGGAAAAGCTCTCAGTTTTTCCCCATTGAGGATGAAGATGGTGATCACTGTGGGTCTTTTATATGTGGCCTGTATGATGGCAAGGTATGTTTCTTCTATCCCTACTTTCTTGATAAAAAATCAAGAAGGGATGCTATAAAGGGGCGCCCGGGTGGATCAGTTGGTTAAGCATCCAACTCTTGGTTTCGGTTCAGGTCATGATCTCACAGTTTATGAGTTAGAGCTCAGCATCGGGTTCCACACTGACATCGTGGAGACTGCTTGGAATTCTCTGCCCCTCCCTTGCTCTTTCTCCCAATACACACACACACACATACACACACACACACACACATATACATACATACATACTGTAGGGGCTCCTGGTGGCTCAGTTGGTTAAGCATCAGACTCAGGTTATGATCTCACTGCTCATGAGTTTGAGCCCCACATGGTCTCTGTGCTGACAGCTCAGAGCCTGGAGCCTGCTTTGAATTCTGTGTCTCCCTCTCTCTCTGCCCCTCCCCCCGCTCATGCTCTGTCTCTCTGTGTCTCTCAAAAATAAATAAACATTAAAAAAAAAAAAGGATGCTGTATTTTGTCATGTTTTTTCTACATCTATTGAGAGGATCATATGGTTCTTACTCTTTCTTTTATTAATGTGGTATGTCACGTTGATTGATTTGCATATATTGAAGCACCCCTGCAGCCAAGGAATAAATCCCATTTGATCGTGGTGAATGATTCTTTTAATGTACTGTTGGATTCGATTTGTTAATATATTGTTGAGAATTTTTGCATCCATGTTCATCAGAGATAATGGTTTGCAATTCTCCTTTTAAAGGGGGTCTTTGTCTGGTTTTGGAATCAAGGTAATGCTATCTCACTGAATGAGTTTGGAACTTTTCCTTCCTATTTTTATTTTTTAGAAAAGCTTCAAAACAACAGGTATTAGCTATTCTTTAAATGTTTAGTATAATTCCCCTGGGAAGCCATCCAGTTCTGAACTCTTGTTTGTTGGGAGATTTTTTTATTACTGATTCAATTTCTTTACTAGTTATGGGTCCATTCAAATTTTCTATTTCTGTTTCAGTTTTGGTAGTTTTTATGTTTCTAGGAATGTATTCATTTCTTCCAGATGGCCCAATTTGTTGGTATATAATTGCTCATAATTCTCTCATAATTGTTTGCATTTCTGCATTGTTTGTTGTGATCTCTCCTCTTTCATTCATTTTATTTATTTGGGTCCTTTCTCTTTTCTTTTTGATACATCTGGCTAAGGGTTTATCTATTTTTTTAATTCTTTCATAGAACCAGCTCCTAGTTTCGTTGATCTATTCTACTGGTTTTTTTTTCAATAACATTTATTTCAGCTCTAATCTTTATTATTTCCCTTCTTCTGCTGGCTTTATGCTTTATTTGTTGTTCTTTTTCCAGCTCCTTTAGGTGTAAGGTTAGGTTGTGTATTTGAGACTTTTCTTGCTTCTTGAGTAAGGCCTATATTATTATATACTTCCCATAACTGCCTGTGCTGCATCCCAAAGGTTTTGCACTATCATGTTCTCATTTTCATTTGCGTCCATGTATTTTTTATTTCTTCTTTAATTTCCTGGTTAACCCATTCATTCTTTAATAGGATGCTTTTTAAACTCCATGTATCTGTGGTCTTTCCAAATTTTTTCTTGTGGTTGACTTCAAGTTTCATAGTGTTGTGGTCTGAAAATATGCATAATATGATCTCAATCCTTTTGTACTGGTTGAGGCCTGATTTGTGACCCAGTATGTTATCTATCCTGGAGAATGTACCATGTGCACTCAAAAAGAATATGTATTCTTCTCCTTAATGATGAAATGCTCTGAATATATCGGTTAAGTCCATCTGGTCCAGTATGTCATTCAAAGCCATTGTTTCCTTGTTGATCTTCTGCTTTGATGATATATCTATTGCCATAAGTGGGGTGTTAAAGTCCCCACTATTGTTGGTTTTTTTTTTAATTTTTTTTTAACGTTTATTTTTTGAGACAGAGAGAGACAGAGCATGAATGGGGGGGGAGGGTCAGAGAGAGAGGGAGACACAGAATCAGAAGCAGGCTCCAGGCTCTGAGCTGTCAGCACAGAACCGGATGCAGGGCTCGAACTCGTGAACCACGAGATCATGACCTGAGCCGAAGTCGGACACTTAACTGACTGAGCCACCCAGGCGCCCCAAAGTCCCCACTATTGTATTATTACACTATTATCAATGAGTTTCTTTATGTTTGTTATTAATTGATTTATATTTTTGGGTGTTCAAGTTGGGGGCATAAATATTTATAATTGTTAGATCTTGTTGGATAGACCCCCCTTTATGATTATATAGTGCCCTTCTTCATCTCTTGTTACAATCTTTGGTTTAAAATATAAGTTTTCTGATTCAAGTATGGGTATTCCAGCTTTCTTTTGATGTCCATTAGCATGATAAATGCTTTGCCATTCCATTTCAATCTAGAGGTGTCTTGTATGCATCATATTGATGGGTCTTCTTTTTTTAATCCATTCTGATACTGTATGTCTTTTGATTGGAGCATTTGGCCCATTTACATTCAGAGTAATCACTGATAAATATGAATTTAGTGCCACTGTATTACCTGTAAAGTCACTATTCCTGTAGATTGTCTCTGTACCTTTCTAGTCTTATTTGCTTTGGTCTCTTTCCAGCTCAAAGGTTCCCCTTTAATATTTCTCACAGAGCTTGTTTAGTGTTCATGA